AGCTCGAAATGCAGCCAGATCATTAGAATTTAAATATTGATGTTTTAATTTCATGTCATTTCAAAGGGGAATTTTGAGTATGTAGAGAGTGCATTTCATATTACAAACATGAATTTAATGAACTTTTTTTTTCTTTTTTTTATTTTATTTTGCGCCCTATCCATCAGATGGCGCCCAGGCGGCCGCCTGTGTCGCCTGTCGACAAAGCCGGCCCTGGTTGGTGCTTCTAGTTTGTCTAATTTTCTGTTTGACTGTTTTCCCAACATATTTACTTTCAACATGTAACACAGTTGTAAATGTGTTCAATAATAGTTTTGTAAAAACAGTAACTGTTTTAGTCATATTTGAATTGGCATATTTTTGAAGCTTGTGAAAGTTAAAACCAAATATTCTTGACTGGTACCAAAATCAATTACAAATGGGGATATATCAAAAATATGTAGAAAACACAGTTTTTACAAACTTCAGTAAAACCTTTAGCAATAGCTTTATCCCTCCCACTGTGTCATGGTCTGCGTCTGCGTCTCCCTCATGTGTCTCCTGGTGTTCTCCATCCCCCTCTAGGATCCCTTTATGTGTCTCCTTGTGTTCCTCATGTGTCTCCTTGTCTACAGCCCCATCCAGGTGTCCCCTCAGGTTCTGTGTCCCTTGTTTCCCAGCCCACTCCAGGTTCTTCCCTTATGCTTCCTGTGCCCCTTCTTGCCTCCAGCTCCCACCAGGTTTCCCAGGTTCACCTATTCTTGTTTTCTTGTATTATCTAACTAGTTTTTTCCTTTAGTTCTCATAGGCAGGGGCGGCGTTAGGCCCGGCTACTTAGGCTGAAGCCCCGGATCTTTCATGATAAGCCCCGGATCTAAATCGCGGAAGTAACATGCAGTACCAAAGTCACACAGAGAGGGCGCAGCTGGCAGTAGTTTGTAAAGTCCCATTTAGTTGTCACACACACAGGTGTGTGGTGAAATTTATTCTCCGATTTTGACCCATCCCCTGAGTTGCAGACACGCCGCGCTCGGGAACTATTTGGTGGTTTAACCCCCCAATCCAATGCTGAGTGTCAAGCAGGGAGGCATTGGGTCCCATTTTTCTCAAAATCTTTGGTATGACCCGACCAGGAGTCGAACCCCTGATCTCCCGATCTCAGGGCAGACACTCTACCACTAGGCTACTTAGTCAGTATACAGTTTACCTGAGACTGAAGAGAAGCCCTTCAGCAGCTGGCTTCTGCACTCTCTGTCTGAAACGCATGAGTGAAGATGGATATAAGGACGTTTTTTTAGACCAAAAGTACAACGACAGAACCCCAGCTCTGATGAGACTGGTGTTGACTCATGTTTGTGAGTCTTATTTGAAAATATTTGTTGTGCTGCTGGTTTGCCTAAAGTTAGCTTACTATCAGGTAAAGTTGTTGGAGAAAGAAAGGGAATATTCACTATCATCTCACACTAAACACTAACAGGAACAATACTCTGCCCTGAATATGCTGAATATGTAGCTTCAGATTAAACATTATGTGGTACAAGACAAATATATATGATGTTGACTAGTGCGTGTCACGTGTGTGCGCGCATGCGTGTGTGTGCGCGTGCGCGCGCGCGTGTGTGCGCGCGCGTGTGTGTTAAGCCCCGGATCTTCTTCAGTCCTAAATCCGCCCCTGCTCATAGGTTCAGGTTTTCTTCTCCTAGGTTCCTTGGTCCCTCCCCACCGGTTTATTAGTTCTCCTTTTCTCCTTAGATCTTTATTTAGTTCTCCCAGTCTTTAGGTTTTGGTTATTATTCATAGGTCATATTTATTTTACCTTCTCAGCTTAGTTTCCTCTCCCTGGTTAGTTAATTGATTTCACTAGGTTGTTTCTCCTCACGCACCTGCAGCTCATCTCCCATTCATCTGTGTATATAACCTTGTCTGTGTCTCTCTGTGTTGTTGGTCCATTGTTTGTGTCAGCCTCGTCTCGTCCCCCTCTCTAGGATTTAGTATCGCTCTAGGTCTCTTGTGTTCTTGGGTTTCTCTAGGTTTTGATATTAGGATTTTTGGACTTTGGTTCTTGGCTCCCTCCTTTGAATTTACTCCTTAATAAAGGATTTTACGTTTTTTTCCACCTCCTGCCTCGTGTCTCTGGTTCTGCATCTTGGGTCCTAACCTTCCTCCAAACACACTGTCTTTATGGGTGACCCTGCGAGGAAAGCTGACCATTGAGCAGGGTTGATGGTTTATCCCTTGAGGTCCATGTGGCAGGGGTGAGGTGGTGCTCACTCCTCACCCCTGCCACGTGGACCCAAGGGATAAACCATCAACCCTGCTCAATGGTCAGCTTTCCTCGTGGGGTCACACCCATTAGGACAGTGGGAGGGTTAAGAGATCAGATGTGTTTCTATGGATTTTTCTTAAATTAGATGGTCCTTTTATGGATTAAGCATTCACAAAAACTGAAATAAGAAGTCACAAAAGTCTAATAAATATATTTAGTGTATTTTCTGTTACTGTAAAACAATAATAAACATTAATATTTTATTACTTTTGAAGTTGAGAGCAGACAAATCTAACAGGTTCATCAAACATTTATCAACACACACTTTTCAGCTCTGTTTATTGACTCCTGAAAAGGTTTGTCAGTCAAAATCAGACAGCTCTGTCTTACATCAAACACACACACACAGTCCTAAAAAGTGCTAAGTCTCCAGCAGAATCTTTAATCTTGATCATTATAAAGATAAATAAATCAACTAAGTCTAGTACATCTATTATGTTTGAGAGCCCTTGAAGTCAAAAGGCTGATTATGAGAACTACTCTTTTAAAAGGCAAAAAGGTCACAGTGAGAGACTGAATCAAGCCCCAGGAGCCTCTGATGAGGAAGTGAACTGGTTATAGTGTGTTTTATGTAAGATTTATGGATGATCAATTTAGTTTGTTTACATATTTTGACCTTGCCTTGCAGGTTGAAGGGTGGGGTTGTACTTTGAGGTCCATAAGTCCAGGTAAAGGTGAGGGGTGGAGTAAGTAGCAGCAACCAGCAGAGGTTTACCAAGAAACACACACACACACACACACACACACACACACATACACACACACACACACACACACACACACACACACACACACACACACACACACACACACTATTTGGGCTTGAACCTGCAGAGTGACGGCCAATGATTCAAAACAATCTGGCAGTGAGGAGCATCTCACCCCGGCTTTCCACAGGAGCCGTCAGCAGCACGTTACTGCAGCAGCACGTCATAGCTGCTGATAGGAACCGCTGTGGTCAACAGAACCTTTTCCACCGGAGCCGTCAGCAGTGCGAGTCGGCCGCGTCTCAGGAGCAGCATGTCGCGGCCTTTACGCGCCGGTTCGATTTTCTACGTGCGACGCCTCTGAAACGGGTCAAGCTCGACATTTTTGGGGAAGGAAAGACAGGAAATCGGACGCGGAAATGGAGAGAAGCTACCGAGATTTTCAGAATAAAGAACGTACTGCTTTCCGGTTGCTTTACTTTTAAAAAAGGTTACTAACTGTGCGGCCCCGTGAGAAGTTATCACCTAGCTAGCGGTCTCCTTTGTTTTTCAGGTCCGTATTGGCGATTATAAAACGGACAGAACATAAAACACAAACATTTTGGAGCCGTGTTGTAATTTTCTCCTGCTTGTTGTTGTGTTTACTGACGAAGTCACTCATGTGACTTCATGCTCTGTCGGTGACAGCTGCTCCCCTGCTGCTTCGCGTCTAGTGGGAAGGGCCAAGCAGCAGCTTACGCGAGCAAGACGTGCTGCTGCAGTAACGTGCTGTTGCCGGCTCCCGTGGAAACCCGGGGTCAATCAGCATTTACATGTCAACCAAACTAATGCTTGGACTGTCTGTAGGTTGTTCAGAATAATTCTGCCAGAATCCTGATTAACACACAGGCCACTCTGCTATTCTGACAATAATTTCCCATTTTTTAATGCTGGTTTTGGTTTTCAGAGGTTTACATGGACAGGCACCAACATACATCAAAGAACCATCTCGTCCTTATGTCCCCGGCAGGTCCCAGAGGTGCTGTGATTGAGATCTGGTTGGCTGAGGGAGATACAGCACGTCCTAATTTTTCCCTCGGACCCTAACACTCTCTTCACCTGATCCTGAGATCTGTGATCTAAAAGCATCTTCAAATTCACTTTTTGATATTTTCACCTAATGGGGTGGGCAATCCTGGTCCTCGAGGGCCGCTGTCCAGCAGGTTTTAGTTGTTTCTCTGCTTAAACACACCTGGTTTGAATCTACTGGTGATTAACAGGCTGCTGATGAGCTGCTGAACAGGTGATTCATCCAGGAATCAGGTGTGTTGGAGCAGGTAAACAAATCAAATCTGCTGGATAGCAGCCCTCGAGGACCAGGATTGCCCACCCCTGACCTAATCCCACAAGTTTTAGATTTAACTGTTTTACTCTTTATTTTAATCTTCACAAGAGGGCAAGAATTTTTTTTTACCATTGCTATTTCTGAGTGTTTAGAAACATTTTAATGTAAATAATTAATGTATGTTAAATACCAAATTATGAACCCTATCTGTATAACTTAATGTTTTTTTTTTACTTTAAGAAAATAGGTAAGATACTTGAGTGCTGATTTAGTAATGAAGGAAAAGCACAGTTTTAACTTTAGATCAAAGAAAAAAACTTGAAGCAGTGTTTTTAGTCACTTAAATCACTGGTTCCCATCTCAAGGGCCCCCTTATCGTGTCCAAGATGAGCCGAGGACCCCCACCCAGCTCCCATTAACACATAGCTACAGCTGATTAATTACAAACTTTGTACAGACATACAGAGTTTGAGTTTGTTGTTGGGATTTTATGTAATATAGAAGCTGGTAACCTCAAAACCTCAGCACAGATAAATAGTGAGTTCACAGACCCCAGGATGGGAACCGCTGACTTAAATGCTAAATATGAAGTGGTTGTGAAGGAGGAGCGGGATTGGTGGAGGCGTGAGCTCTCTCTGTGTGATTTATTAGAGCAGTTCGGTCCCGGTGATGACGCACAAACAGCAGCACCTAGGAGGAGATGCTCCGCAGCATCAGCACCATCCCGCTCTCTGATGGATGGGAAGTGGACGGAAGAGGATTTTAATGATTCCCGGCTCTCTGTCCTCCTGTCCCTCCGCGCTGAGGACAAGCCAGCAGGGAGGAAAGAGACACGGCAGAGGAGACGCGCGTAAATCATCCGTGCGTCTTCCGCGCGCCATGCCGCCCCTCTTCTCTCTCCTCTGAGTTCCTCGGTTCCCTCCTTCTGCCTTTCTGCTTCTTGGATGAACTTTCTTTTCGCCCTGAAGGACGCAGTAGTTCGCTCCGACACCATGAAGACGTCGCGGAGGTGTCGCGCGCTGCTGTCGGTGGCTCTGAACCTGGTGGCGCTGCTCTTCTCCACCACCGCCTTCATCACCACCTACTGGTGCGAAGGCACCCAGAGGGTCCCCAAACCGAACTGCAGCACGCAGCGGCGCCACAACTGCATCGACTACGGTGTGAACGAAACGGACCAGAACAAAGTCCACTACAGCTGGGAAACCGGGGACGACCGTTTCCTCTTCCGCCGGTTCCACACCGGCATCTGGTACTCCTGCGAGGAGAACATCCACGAAGCAGGTGAGTGCGGTGCTGTGAGAAGAAACTTGTTCCAAAGTCAAAATCTCACTGAGCGCATTTGGAGTTAACTTTGCTTTCAATGCATTTTACTTCCTCTAAACCAACACTGAGCCCAATCTTCGGCCCACACTGCAAACCCAGCTAAAGCCTTAAAAATAAAATATTTTCAAAACAACCTGCAGAGCACATTTAGTTATTTCTGAGAAGGTCGCTCAAGTTCAGCAAGGATGAACAAAGGGAAATTCTTAGAACATAAAAGTTAAACATAATTACCTTACATTATAACTACTATTAAACTGGTCAATATACGGCAACCAAAATGGGTCAAAAAAGAAAAACCCACAATGTAATATGCTTGGCACTTAGATAGTTTCAAATAAAATAAACGATTACCAGGTAGTTTGAAACTGAGAAACCTCACAATATTTATTCAGACAAAAACATTTTATGATGAAAGTATGAATTTTTTTTCATGTCAATGAAATCGTGGGATATCTGTAAAGAGCACAGACAGAAGGGGTCCAACTCCAGAGTAGGACCTTTGTGTGATTTACAGACCAAAGGGTCACTTTGAGGGAAAATTAAACAAATTTTAATGTAAGAAGAAGTTTTGGGTTAGGGTGATTTGAGAGACAAGATCTGAGCATAAAACAACAATTAATGCCCTCACATAAACTTGTTGATCACAATGGGATACCGTTTATATCTAAAACATGATGATTAGTTCCTCTATAGATCTGGAATGCTGATCTTTCTGAGCACATTTTCCCTCCCTTACGAAGCCCAGAGAAGTTGTCCTCTGGACCGGGTCAACATCAAGATGGTGCTGACTGGAAAAGATTTCCCAAAGTAGTCCTTGTCCATGTGGTTCTGCCAGCTGTTGATGAGTGACGGTTTCACAAGGAGGCTATTTGGTTTAAAGGGCGAGTAACACCTAAATCAACTTTTTTCTTTTTCCTAATAACCTGTATAGGCGGGTGTCCCAATAGTGCAGTCCATCCATCCATCCATTTTCTGAACCCACTTATCCTTGTAGGGTCGCGTGGGGGGGTGGAGGGCTAGTGCCTAACTCCAGCGGTCAATGGGCAATCAGGCAGGGTACACCCTGGACAGAGTGCCAGTCCATCACAGGGCAACACAGAGACACACACAATCACACCTAAGGACAATTTAGACAGACCAATTAACCTAACAGTCATGCTTTTGGACTGTGGGAGGAAGCCGGAGCACCCGGAGAGAACTCCTCAGTGATTTCGGTGAAAAGGAAATCCTCCTTTCTGCGGACAGTTTAAGTGTCTGCTTTTCATCTGAGCGGTGAGTTTGCCTAAATGTGTGTGTGAGTGTGCATGCACGAGTGTGGCTCATTTTTGTGACTGAGAAACTCCAAGAGCGCACGCGGGCGGGTTGAGGGAGGTGCTGTCAATCATACCCTCAGTTCCGCTCTCTCCGTCCTCCAGGTGACGCCTTTTATTGAAGTATTTTTCTAACAGGAATTTTGTTTCAAATAAGTCTCCACCCTTGGTGTTAGTCACCCTTTACCTGTGACTGAGATACTTCCATTAAAGCAGTTGTCATGCTATTTAAAACTTCTCATAGCAAGGATAGGCCCATAGATCATTAAGGCCTGTATAGTGCGTTCTAGCGTCCTACGACCTAGCCTGGACAGCCAGACTCACCCTCTGTCTATGCTACACAGAGAACTAGTCTGGATACTCAAAACCAGAGAGCACCATGAGGGCGGGACAAACAGCTCAAAAAGGATGGATGCTTGATATTGCTACACGCGGCACAGGTTTGAATAAAGCTTGGAAAAGGAAGTCCTGCCTACTTGTGATACTTTCTGAAACAACTCCCAACCATAACAGAGATGTCATCTGTTCTGAAGTACATCTTTTTTCAAATTTAGATAATCTTGAGACATTATGTCAACCCTGGCTGCTGAACTGTCCCAGTCAGCGATTGCTGAGTTTGGAGGTGTTTCTCATGAGGAAATAATAATATAGCATGGTCAAAAGCTGCAAAAGTGGATTTAACCTGATGTAGTCCCTTTAGTCAGTCACATTTTCCCCATTTTATGTGAAGTGCACGTGAACCCATGAGTGAGAGGATTTGTATCTGTTTGTCCAAATAAGAGCCTGATTTTAAAAAGCTTCGACCTTGTGAACTTGTAGCACCTTGTTGTGGCATTAAGGTGGTGATTTATGATAAAAGCCGCTCAAAGAAAGTAACTATTTGAGTTTAAATTACTGTTAATGCTAAAAAGCAGCCCGGCCTTGGGTCTTCATGTGGCCTGTTTGCTGGCAGTGCTGATAAAGAAGCTTTCAACTTTTCTAATTCATGCTTTGACTTCCATTCCTTTCACTTTTTGTAAAAATTACAAAAACATAACACGACAGTGTTTCATCTGTCTCAATGACGCCTGTAAGAATAAGAGATGATGGGAGGCTCTGCTGTTAGAGATCTCAGCTGTCAGTCAGCATCACAAAACAGATCAATCACACTGATACCTGATTTTTTTTTTTGGTAAAACATTTATTTTATTTACGTGGATCTTTCCAGTCCCACACCAGCTGTCATGTCGTCCATCTTGATTCAGACTCTGTCGTTTAACCGCTGAAGCACTCGGTGTGAAGTGAACTTGCTGGTGTGGCAGCTTTGTTTACAACCTGTAATTCATCATCGTCTAGTTTAATCCGTCTTTTTCTACAACTCAAAAGCATCCACCTCCAATGAATGACAGAAAATAAACTTCACATTTTACTGAGCGGAGAGCAAGAAAACTACTCCAGGTTTGGTTTTAGGCTTTTATGGAGCTACATATGTGACAAAATCAGGGTGTTGAGAAGTTTTACTGGGGTCTTTATTCCTGCTTTGATTTTTTTTCTTTTGTTTTGTTTTGAACTGAGAGATTTTGGTTCTCCCTTTATTTCCCGTTTGTGTTTTGCAGTGTCAGCGTCATCAAATTTTACTGCTTTTGTTCATCGATCTGCACTGCTCCTTTGGTTCAACACACAAACTACTGTGAAAACACTTTACTTCTCTTGAGTTTTAAAGCTTTCAGTTAACAGCTCATGTGGGGCCTGATGTGGAGAAAACAGACTTGACAGACCTGTTTTTGTGGTTGGATGTAATCTTCAGGGCTGTACTGGCACACAGGAGGCCAACAGGCAGAGGTTAAATTAAAAACCAGTCCTGAACGCTTCAGCAAGGCTTACTCACTTCATTACATCACGACAATCTGCCGCGACTGAAGAGACTCGTAAGGAGATCAGCTTGGTGCTGATGAGAACCGGGTGTGGAGGCAGGATGAGGCTCGAAACTGAGCTCAGTTTTATGATGCTGTCGGGGTTTGCAGCTCATACTAGTAAGCATATGCAAAAAAAGCTGCATTCATACCATCACTTATCTGTTGTATTCACACAGTTTTTTTTAATCAAATACACAATTTGCATGTGGCTGTTATTTTATTAATTTTTTATATGAAATGGAAACTTATTTGGCTGCGCAGTGGTTAGAGCTGTTGCCTTGCAGCAAGAAGGTCCTGGGTTCACTTCCCGGCCTGGGATCTTTCTGCATGGAGGTTGCATGTTCTCCCTGTGCATGCGTGGGTTCTCTCCAGGTACTCCAGCTTCCTCCCACAGTCCAAAAACATGACTGTTAGGTTGATTGGTCTGTCTAAATTGTCCTTAGGTGTGTGTGTGCATGATTGTTTGTCCTGTGTGTCTCTGTGTTGCCCTGCGATGGACTGGCTCTCTGTCCAGGGTGTACCCCGCCTGTTTGCCCGTTGACCGCTGGAGATAGGCACCAGCGCCCTCCCCCCCCCGAGACCCTGCATGGACAAGCGGGTTCAGAAAATGGATGGATAGATGGAAACTTATTTTTTAGTTTTTATTACATCTGTTATTTTCCGTGCCTTATTTTATGATGAAGGTGTGCAGGAACCTGAACCAGAAAGCTTCAGGACCTTCTGATCAGGAACCCAGAAGCTAAAATAATTAAAGGTACTCCTTACGTTAATGAGCTGCGGAACACTTTTACTGCGTTCAGCCCCATTTTTCTTTTCCCTGATTGCTAGGTCACATTCGTAAATAACAATTTGTTCTTATTCTGTTTTTGCCTGGTTAAATAAAAGGTTCCCCAAGCTGTAATCATAGAAGGAAATACTATATTTATTGGTACACACGCGCGCGTGTGTGTGTGTGTGTGTGTGTGTGTGTGTATGTGTGGGGGGATATTTATAAGTATCGTATGTCTTTTTGACTCGTTTAATGCCAGTTTGAGCTGAGATTTCATCTGTCAGCTGGATAATTCAGTCTGATGCTCAGGTACATTAGCTGTTGTTCTAGAAAACCATTTATACTCATCAGAGCTGTAATTAACCCCCAGACGACACTGATTAAACAGTCTGCAGAGCTGCAGGGGGGGCTGAAGTGAAAGGCTGCTCTCAGAGTGAATTATGGGACGCTGGAATGAAACTATTAGGTGTTTGAAACCATCTGAAGCCTGAAATAAACCCATTTGATTACAACCTGATATGCTGAAACTGTGATAAGTGTATTTTACCCTCTTTTTTGTGTAATTAACATTTCAGAGCAGCGTTATGATGCTCAGTGTATGAAGTAACACTGATTGTGCGCTCAGTCCCATCGTCAGGTCACAGATGCATCAGCTCACTAATTACATTTTAAATTCATGTCCTAATCAGACGCTCACCTTTTGGCTGCAGCATACTTCCATCACAGCTCAAAAGACGTGGTCATTAGAGTTTAGCACTTGGTCACTCTGAGTTTGTCTCAGGTGAGTTCATAACTCTGCTATGATACGAGGCATCAAACTGACTTTTAGCTCTAGGTAGTTACAAAGAATGCTTTACATGTAAACACTGGTTTATTTAAAAATATAATTACATCAGCTGAAAGTCAAAACACCAGATAAAAGATGAATAAATAGAATGAAAATCAGAAAACTGCAGAATTATTGAGCTAACAATTATTACTCTT